GGGGGTGGGGGGTGCAGGGACAGGTTTCAGAATGAATCGGTAGTGATGAAAATAGGCCGGAACAAAGGTTCTCACGTAATTTCAAGTGGCATTTCGGTTTCTTTACGCGTCGGATTTCTGTTTAAAAACTGGGTGTTTTCACACAAGCCCAAGATGGGCTTCTGTGAAGGCTTTCTAGGATGTGCTTAGTCATTAAAAAAGAAAAAAAAAACTTTTTATGTGCTTAAAGTGCTGTTAGAGAACGCGCCTAGGTGGCGTTGCACAATATTTGCTGGAAAACCATCCAAGAGCAGTGCTCTCCCTCATCTTGTCCTGTCTGAGGGACTGCTCAGACTCACAGTCCCCTCAGTTTCTATTCTTTTCAATTGCGGGTTTTGGTTCCCAGCATGCGGCACCTGGGGACCTGCTGTGCCAATGAGTCCAGGAGGTCTCCCGAGAAAACAGTTAAAGCTTTGGGTTGAAGAACTCTGGCCAGGAAGGTTCAGTGTCCTTCTTGTGCCTCAGTTTCCCCTAGAGCAGACTGAGCAGAGGGAGGCTCATCTTTGCAGAGGATTTGGGACTTGATGTGCCCCAAATACTTTGCCCATCTCCACTGCCCTCCACCATTTCCTTCTGGATTTGGCCTGAGCCCGTGGACACTAGGTTGGCGTCCAGAAATAATCTCTTTTGTGGTTACCCATAAAAAGTTATAACCGCAGAAAAAGGAACTAGAGCAGAGAGCTGAAACTTCTGCTGCTGCTGGCCTCTTCTGTAATACAGGGCCGCAGGAGAGCAAAGCTTTTACGAGAAGACAAGGTGAATATTTCTGCTTTAAATCCACTTCCCCCTGCGCCCGCCCTATTCAGAACCCAGCAAAGGCCAGCAAAGCCCCTTGCCCATCCCGACACGGAGGGTGTCTGCAGTGTCGGATGCCAAAATGGCAGCAGCCTCTTCTAAAGAGGAGCAGGGGCACTGCCAGGAGTGGCAGAAATAAGGTTGAAGGGCAGTGACCTCTGAGGATTTCCTCTTGGGTTTTGGCGTTTTGCTTTGTAGCCTTCACTTGGGCTGAACTCCTTCATTTTTAACTCCTTTGATGGGAGAGTTGGCTCCATCATCTGCTGTGATAAATAAAAGAGAAGCCAGCCAGGGCAGGTTACCCTCCAGCAGACCCGGACACATGGGTGGAAATGCCGGCGGTCGTTGGGTAGCCAAGCGCTCTTCTTCATCCTCTCTCCTGCCCTCCAGGTGTATCCATCCAACTCAGGTGACGACTACAGCAGGGATCCAGCTGGATATACTCCCTCAAAACCTCCCAGCACTGTGTATCCCGGAGCCTTCTATATGGCAGGTCAGGCTTTAACCACCCCGGCATTAATGAGGGACCTGGGGGCAGGAGCATGAGGTGTTTCCATGCTGGTGGAGGGATGAGGTCTCCTGCTGCAGCCTGGTACACATGAGACACAAAGCAGCTCCAAAGTGACTCCATGTGTGATGCTTGGCGTCAGCACAACGCGACTTACTGCATCCCTGGGCAGAGCTGCAACATCCCCGCATGGGCTGGCTTGTCCCTGCATGGGTTGTCCAACATGGGCCAACATCTGCCCCCCTCACCTCTCGCTTGCCTTCCAGATGGACTTCACAACTCACCAGACCTATGGAGTTCACCCAGTGCCATGAGCCAGTCGAGCTATGGTGCCATGTTAGGCAGTTCCTCCTCCCCTCTCCCACAGTCCAGTGGCTTCAACAGTTTACATCAGCACGAACGAATGGTAACGTGCTCCCATGCTTTTCTCCCATGGGGCTGCGCTGAAGCTGGGTTTGGGGCAGGCAGGGAGGTTAGGGGCTCTGCTCAGCCTGCTGGCAGCATCATACATCACAAGACAGCTTCTGTAAATGATCCATCATCTCTTAAAAGCCACAGCAGAGCCCTATTTTGCTGCTGATGTGCTGCTGCCCTCAGAAAGGCTGTGGGGCAGGCCAAGGTGGCCAACAGTTGGGGCCAGGTCCTGGCCTGGTTGCTGAAGCTCTGCAGCTTTTTGAAGGCCTCATGCTTCTCTCCCCTCCTGCTAGAACTACCAGATGCATTCAGGAGAAGTTAACGGCGGACTCCCCTCTGTGTCTGGCTTTTCCTCTGCTTCCACCCCGTATGGTGTCTCCAGCCATACGCCCCCAATCAGTGGGACGGACAGCATGATGGGTATGTACAGTCCACGGGTGAGTGGTGGGTCCCCAAGTGTGGCCCTCCTTGTGTTTCCAACCCTCTTGCTCCGTTACCATGCAGAGGCTAATCCAGGAAAGTCAAACTCTTCTGCAAAAGCCTAATGCACGAGGGTATGTCGTCTGCATCCTGTATACCTGTACATGTTTTATCCTTTTGTTTGTTGCACACAGGCCTGGAGTTACTCAATGTGGAAGAGACTTAGTGAGGTTATTGCCACTGAATAAGCTGGAGTAGAGGGCAGAGGGGTGGCTTGCAGCTTTCTAAGGAGTTTCCAAGGGTTTGCACCTCACCTGTCAGATCTGGAAAGAGACCAGGATCTGTGAAATCCTCTGGTGGAGGTGCCATGACTAAACGAGGGGTGGGAAGGAGCTACACCTGAGTGCAGGAAGGTGGGTGGTATGTGTGAAGCCATTCATCTAAATCAGGAAAGAAAGCATTCGTGCTGTATTCAAATGCCACGTTAAACCCCTGAGTGCTTTAATCTCTAACCCTGCTGACCCTGTTACAAAACCTGTTACTGAAATTAGCTTGTGTTCCCTGGGAAATGTGGACCCTGACCTTGATTTGGAGATGAACCTTTGTTTGGAGGAGCGGAAACAAGTTTGGGATTGTAAGGGCTTAAGGTGCCCTGTTAAAATGGGCCTTGCTGCAGTGGAGGCATTTAATCACCATCAAAGGCATGATGCCTCTGACCAGGCGTCTCATAAACATGTTCCTACAGCCCTGGGAAAGTCAGCGAAGTGCACGCACCCTCATCTGTGTTGCTCTGAGCAAGTCGGCGTGGGCAAAGGGAACACAGGAATCAGGCAGACCTTTCTGTTTGTTTATTTTTAAAGAAAAGCGGTAAGAATGAGAAACTTCAGGCTTAGAGCAAATGCCTAGTCACCAGAGAAGGTCTTGCACAAGGTACCTTATTGGACAGGGGTCTTAGTACCTGTGCCCGGGCAGTGACGGCTGTATCTTCTCTCGGCAGGGAACCGAGGAACCACGGCTGGGAGCTCGGGAGATGCGCTCGGGAAGGCACTAGCTTCAGTAAGAGTTTCTACAGATCCCCAAGCTGCTGCCTGTCCTGTCACAGGGACTCCCCAAGTTGGTCTTTCCCTGTATAATGGGGATCCTCTAGGCAGCTGGAAAGATGAACGCATGAGAAGTTTGGGTGAAACTGCAGGCCCCAGAAATGTAGCAGCCTCTGAGAGGGAGGCATGAGTTTCCCCTGTTTTTTATTTCCCCTCAGGGCTCTACATGCCGCCATCTTCTTTTGACAAGTCCCTTTTGACAGATGGGGAAAGTAAGGCACCGGGTGGTTAAAACAGCCATTGCAAACCCCTGCACGCAAGCTGGCTCTGCAGCTGCCCAGCCTAGTGCCTAGTTTGGTGCCTCGCTCAGTCCCGGCAGCGGGACTCGCAGGTCCAGGGTTTGCTACTTCCAGCTGGAGGGTGCTGAAGGGGTGCTCCAGCCGCAGGGATCGCAACAACAGGGGCAGAGAGGGGACCCAGTGTTAATGGGAAAGCTACTGGGCATGGAGGCAAGGGGGAACGCTCTCGGCGTGGTGTAGTGGGGATAAGCAGGCTCGGCCATTGTGCTGGCTGGGAAGTTGGCAGTGGTGCGGGCGGGAGAGGGATGTGCCAGTGGGGTCATCCTTGCTGCAGAGGATGAGGAGGGAGGCTGAGGCTTGGGAGATCCCGTTACAGGAGCGGGCGTTGCTGACCATGCCCCACTTCTCTTGCTCCAGATTTACTCCCCAGATCACTCTAGCAATAACTTCTCTTCAAACCCCTCTACACCGGTCGGCTCCCCTCAGGGGCTTGCAGGTAGGTGATCGCGTTGCTCTTTTATATGAAGACATTGGTAAGATTTCCTTTCAGGAACTTCATGACAGCGTACTTCCTAGATCAGCTCCAAACCCTCCTTGCCTTTGTTAAGGACTCCATGCAAGTCCGGCCCAGGTGGTAGCGACACCGCGTGATTGTGGAGTTAAAACATTGCTACCACCCCCTCAAACCTCTGCCTTCCCATCAAAGAAAACCCCTTTCCCTGAGCATCCGATTTTGATGCAACTTTGAAAGTTTGTCCCTAGTTTCTGTCTCCCATGGTAAGAGCCCAGTGTGAACTGGGAGGCGGCCAACTAGTTAAAAACCGTTTGCAGCACCCCACAGCCTGAGGAAAGCCCGTCTCTCTGCTCCCATCTGGCAGGAGAGGAGGTCCCATTTCTGCAGAGCTGATGTTGAAGCTCCTCGATGCAGAGAGTATGGAGCAATTTCCACCCTCCAGTCTGTAAAAATCAGAGCAGGAGCCCCACTGTGTGCTGCCCAGCATAGCTAGCGGGGAGTGGGGGCAAAAACCATGTCCGTGTGCGGCACAGCCAGCCCGTACAGCCTCATGTGTGGTGTGGCCAGGCCATGCAGCTCTGTGCATGGTGTGGCTGGCCCATGCATGTTGTAGCTGGCCCATACATGGTGTGGCTGGCCTGTGCAGCCCTGTGTACAGTGTGGTGGACTCACATGCAGTGTGGCCAGCCTGTGCATAGTGTGGGTGGCGTATGCAACCCCGTGCACAGTGTGGCCAGCCTGTGCGCAGCATGGCTGGTTCCTGCAGCCGTGTGCACGGTGTGGCCGGCCCATGCGGTGCAGCGCTTGCTCAGCTTCCAGCCCCACCTAGTGGCTGCTGCTCCCATCCCGTGCACCTGGTCCTAACCTCTTGCCGTTTGTTTGCAGGCACATCCCAGTGGTCACGAGCGAGCGGACAGGGTGCCTTATCTCCCAGCTACGAAGGGAGCCTCCACACTTTAGTAAGTGTCACTGAAAGATCTCCCTGCTGACTTTCTTGGCCATCCATAACGCATCTGGTGGTAAATGGCCAAGTAAACACCTCTCTTCCCCAAAGATGGAGGACCTACAGGTTCAGATAGATGTTTAGTTGAAAGTGGTTAAGCAGCTTTGGCCATCTAATTCTCTGAGCCCAGAGCCTTGCTGGCAAAGATGCTATCTTGCACCCTTAGCCAATTTACAGCCTGTTTACACCATTGCAGATCTGGCCCTGCCTAACAGATTTTCCCTGGTTTCTGCCTCCCTTTTCAGAGCAGACTTGCTCATATAATCCCTGGCCGTGATCTTGCCTTTAAAGGATGGCTCTGGCTGGGTTGGGATGTTGTTTCTCCCCATCTCTGCTGCCTTGCAGTAGCCAAGTGTATGATTGCAGCCAGCAGCTCCTTAACGCAGGGAGCGTGCCAAGCCCTAGGTGAACCAGAGAGATGCTGCAATGGGCTGCTGGCTTCACTGACATTAACAGAGACCTGTTTCTCCTTCCTTCCAGCAAAACAAAATGGAAGACAGGTTGGATGAAGCCATCCACGTGCTGAGGAATCACGCCGTGGGCCAGACAGCTGCCATGCCGAGCAACCATGGGGACATGCACGGCCTGCTGGGGTCAGCACCTGCTCACAGTGCTGCCGTGGGCGGCCTGGGCCAGGCCTTTCCCACCTCAGTCATGCCTCTGGGAAACAGGCATCCGAGTCTGGTGAGTCCAGGAAAACACTGCCGCAGCTGGCTCATGGGGATGCCCGGATGCCAGGGCCCCATGTTGCAGGGAACTGGTGCACAGGCCAAAGGGGACTAGCCTGTCACCTTGAAACCCTGGTGGCCAGAGGGGTGTTTTGAGAGTAGCTTGATGTGGTGCAGCTTCAGGTTGGGTTGATTGGTGACAGATTTAAATGGATGACTTGCACTGATAGGCAGTTTGCCATGTTTGAGTCCATGGGATTAGATCCACACTGAGTAGCTCTCAGAGTATGAGACCTGTGTGTGGGTCCCTCATATCAGGGCTGTCACATCTTGTGGGGACAGAGGTGAAAAAAGCTTTCAATCTTTCCCTGTAATGTGGATGAATATCCCTCAAAACGGTTTCAAGCCATTCCCTGGGAGATGCAGAAAGGAGGAGAGGGACCCTGGGCACGGCAGTGCTGGGTGGCATCATGGGTGCAGACAGCTAGGTATCTCTAGGACTTCTGGAGCCCATTTGCCATGGGCTCCTCTGGGAGCACTGATGCCTAAGGGCTAGTTCAGGCTCAAGAAAACCAGATGCGCAAGTTTCCGAGCTTCCTGCACTCTGCTGCTAAGCCATGAATAATATGCGCATCCTCTGTTACAAACTGAGGAGTGCCCTCAACCCCAGCTGCAGAAACAGGAGGGTTTGGAGCAGGGCTGGATCTGTCCTGCCTGTCTCTGGCCAGTGTAGCAAGGCCTTGGTGTGCACATGGGCTCAGGAAGGCCACCCGACCTGCAGCCTCTATGCCCAGGCCCTTTGGAGGGGTGCCACATCCACACTGCTGGATGCCCCTGCTCTGGTGGCACTGATGGGGAGGTTGCCCTCCAAAGAAATCTCAGTCCGAATTGTTGGTGCTTGATAGAGACAGGGCAAGCAGCCCAGGCAGAGGGTCCTCTCCAGCGTGCCAGCCTTGCATCAGAGCAGGGAGGGGCTGTTCCATGGCAGGACAGCACTGATGGGTGCTGGAACAGGCTGGCTCCCTCCCACATGTCACACGCTCTGGTTGTGTGGCTGGCGGTGCGCGAGGAGCGCACATGACTGCGCCCCGGCATCATGTGCAGTGCTGAGCAGCTGCACTTGGTGCAAGCTGTGCCTGCGTGTGCTGGCCATGACGCTTCCATCCCTGAAAGCTTGCTCTGCTTGTTCTGCTGTAGGTGGGAGGAGGTCACCCTGAAGATGGGTTGTCCAGCAACTCCAGCATGCTCCACAACCATGTCACACTTCCATCACAGCCCAGTTCACTCCCTGACCTCAACAGGCAGCAAGACACATACAGTGGTAAGGCAGCTCTGCACATGTGCACGCTTGAGTCTCGCCCACTGCCAGGGTGATTCACACCCTGGGCTTTCTGCAAAGCAGAGGTCCAGGGGGCAGTTGGGGTGCTTCCCTGGGGCAGTTGGGGAGCTCCCCTGTGGCAAGCTGGAGGGCAGAATCCTATGCTGTACCTTTTCAGAGGTCCTTGACATGGCTTCTGGTTTGACCTGCATGTTTCTGTCCCTTCTGCCGGCTGTGGGGTGCAGAGTGCTCCTGGGCCCTTCTCTGCTGGGAGGGGAAGTTGGGCTCTGACTCTGGAGGACATCAGAGGTGGGGGGAAATGAACTGGCGAGGCAGAGCCAGCACCTGCAGTGATGCAGGATGAGTCTGTTCTCAACGTGGCACCTGTGGGCCGGACCCACGTACTCTGTGGCATGGCTGCTTTTAGCAAGGCATCTGGAGTCATCCAGAAGCACAGGGCTTCGTGCTGTCCTCAAGGCAGTGAGCCTAGATGAGTGAGTCACCTGTATGAAGGGATTTGGTCCCAGCTGAGTCAGCACCATCCCCTCTGCCCTGTGCCAGGCAGCGACCTCAGTGATGCTTTTGGGATGTCCCTGGCGTGATCCTTGCTGCAATGGCTCTCTTTGGGCTTGCAGATCCTGTAGCTTTCTCCAGCTGATGGGGACCAAACCCCAGCAGTGGCAGCCTCTGCACTGCAGCATCTAGGATGCCAGGGTCAGCAGGGCTGGAGATGTAGCAGGGCTCAAGGGACTTTCCTGCCCCATCCTGTGCGGGTTGGACCCCTCCAACCGCCGCATGCGGCTCTGTTTCCTTGGCAGGCTTGTCAGGGGGGCTGGGGCGAAGCAGCGTCTCCTCGGGAACCAGTGAAATAAAGAGGGAAGAGAAGGAGGATGAGGAGAACACCTCGGTGGCTGATAACTCAGAAGAGGAGAAGAAGGAGTTGAAACCTTCCCGGAACAGAACAAGGTGCTCTTTGAACAGGTCTCTCCCTTCACTTACTCTGTTACTGGTCTGGGGGAGTTGGGGCTGGGATCTAGCCAAGGCCACCCACCAGGTGCTGGGCTCAGCCCTGCTGACCTCCTCTATGGCCTGTCTGGCGCGGACGGAGAGGGTGCCCATGGGACCTGGCAGGCAGTGGCCCGTTGTGCTGCTGCGTGGACCTGACAGCCCCTGTGCACCGCAGCAGCACCTTTTCCTTCCTGCTGCAGAGGCAGCACAGCTCGGGCTCCCTCTGCATCCCCATTACCGGGCGCTTTGGGACACGCTGTGCAGGGGAACAGTGAAGGGTACCTGCCGTCCCTCCCTGCTGGTCCCGTCCCTATGTCCACAGGGTTTCTTAGTGCTTAGAAAGCAGATGGTTCAAGTGTTGTCCTAGCAAGCTGCACCCACCTGCTCGGTCACTCGGGGCATTGCTTGCAGCCTGGCTCTGCCACACTCTGAAAGGACCCAGCACTCAGCTCCACACTGCCTGCCCTTGGATAGACACAGGGAAGGTTTCAGCTTCCTCCCTGCTTTGAATTGTCTCTGCTATCTGCTTCGGGACTCCTGTATCCTCTGTCACATCCAGCCAGATATGTGGCAGCGGATCAGGTAGAGTCCTTCCAGCACACGAGCTTGTCTGCAACCTCACCAGCACGTCAGAGACCTCTCCAGGGGCGATGCCTGTGATGCCAGAGAGCAGCCAGGTCCTGCCCTGGTGGCAGAGGGCTTTGTCTTCCTGAAACAATAGCTTGTGACAGTGTTTGCCAGCCCTTTGCTCTCTCCCACACCTTCTCCCAGCCACCATGGGATCTCCTGAGGACAAGCTCAGGCCGTATTCATGTTTTTGTGGTTTCTTTGTTTGTTCTTTAAAAAAGAAATAATGAGCAAGAAGAAGAAGAGTCTAAATTGCTTCTCTCCAAAGTCACTGCATGTCCCTGTGTGTGAGCACAGGGCACCGGGATGCAGTGTGCTGGGGCCAGCAGGGCCTCGTGGGGGGGAGCGTGGGGCACAGCGCCCTGGCTCGGCGAGGCCGTTCCCATGGCTCGGTGTGTCGGTGCCTGAACATGTGTTTCTTTGCTGTGAGTTGACCAGTGCTGAGAGTGCACGCGAGGAATGTCCCTGTCTCGTTCTTATTTTAAACCATTAGTCAAGATGAGGATGAGGAGGACGATCTTCTTCCCCCAGAGCAAAAAGCCGAGAGAGAGAGAGAAAGGAGGGTCGCCAATAATGCCCGTGAGCGCCTGCGGGTCCGTGACATCAACGAGGCCTTTAAAGAGCTCGGACGCATGTGCCAACTCCACCTAAACAGCGAAAAACCGCAGACCAAACTGCTAATCCTACACCAGGCCGTATCAGTCATACTGAACCTGGAGCAACAAGTTAGAGGTCAGTGAGGGTCCCGGAGTGGTGATATTTTACGTATCTGGTCGGCACGGGGCTGTCTGTCTGTCTGTCTCCTGTGACATGTGCTGTGGTGCCTCACACTGTCTCTCTGCCCTGCGGCCTTGGAGTCCCAAGGCCGTTCATGTCCTTTTTTATTTTCTTCTTTTTTTCTTTTTTTTTCTTTTTTGCATCCCTGCCCTTCTCTTTTGTTTCCCCCTGCTATCGCGTGCGCTGCATGGCAATCCCTGAAGAGGGACCTGCGCTCCCGAGCCTTTCCCCAGGACTCTTTAGCGTGGAGGCTGCTCTAGCTTTCATGCAGCCCAGTGTTTTGCTTGGCCGTTTGGCCAGTGAAAAAAGCCATCTCATAGGGGGGGACTCAGATCCGATATCTCTCCGAGGGCTGCTCTCTCGGCAAGGCAGCCTGTGCCCATCTCTCCCCACGGCAGTAGCAGCAGTGAAAGTTGCCCCTTTCCTGCATGTGTGCCTGCTCAGCGCGGGGCGTCTGCTCTCCCCCTGCCTCCACATCACCTCAGGGGGTTTGCAGGGTGGCTGGCAAACCAGTGTGGATTGCTGGAGCTGTGCAAGACTGCCCAGCAGCGGGATGGAAACACTGAAATTGGAGAGTTGGGCAGGCCTCGCCAGTCTCCAACGAAACCTGGGAGCGCCACATGTCCCTAGCAGGGCTCCGGACCGTGGACCAGAGTGGGTTGGCTCTCCCCCCTCGCCAGGGCAGGCTCGCTCCCCTCCTATGTGTGTGTGAACCTGTCTCGTCTGCTGTGCGCTTCCCCCAGCTGAGTGCATCTCGGATGCCCGTGGCCCAGTTGGAGGGGAAGCAGAGGGCTTTGCTTCCCGCTCTGAGCCACGGAGGATTTTGCTGCTTCATTTCTGTAACCCGCAGTGCATGCTCCCGCCTCACCCGCGGCCCCAGCTCGGCAGGGCTGTCTGGGGCAGGTTAACCCCCTTTCTCTCTGCAGAGGCTGTTGTAACACGAATCCGTGGTTTGTGCCTGGCTGTGCTCCTCTCTGCTGGCCTCTGCTGTTGCATTGATGTTGGAGTCCTTTGTGCCTCTCTTCAGTTTGTAATTTTTTGCCTTTCATAACATGTATATTTTTCCTGTCTCTTTTTAAATTTCCCCTTCCTTTTATTTTTTATTTTAAATTTTTATTTTTTGGTTCTGTTCTTTCTGATCTCCTACAGACAGTCCCCAGCCATGACCTCTCGGTGGTCCCACTCTCTACCTTGTACTTGCTGCTTGCTCATCAAGACAGGAGCCAAAGGGTGGCGGGAGGGCAGGGGCTAGACAGAGTTGGCACCGTGTTCACTTTGGTCTCCCACGCTTGTCCCTTTTTAAACCCTTCCTGGCTGCAGCCAGGGCACCAAGCTGAGCCCCATGTGCTGCTGCCAATAGATGTTAGCGCAGAGAGCTAGGATGTCACTCTTCCAACGTCTTTGGTCTTCAACCACTTTGCAGGAGAGAAGCAACCCGAGGGGGTGCCCTTGGCTCCCTCCCATGCAGCTGTGCTGTGGATCAGGGCCATCGGCATGCTGAGCCAGGCTCCTGATCGCCATCAGGCAGCTAACGAGGTACAAAGGGAAAGGAGCAGCTTAGAGGGAGGGCAGTGTTGCAAGGGGGACAGGCAGGCACCTCAGTGCCCCATTTTAGTGGGGTGCAAAGCAGCCGAGGCACCACATGCCTTGTAACTCTGGGGACCCAGCTTTGCTATGCACACCTGGTCACCTCCAGTAGTGCTCACTTACACTGGGGAGCTGGCTCCGTCCTGCCAGGCTGGAGCAGGAAAGGCACTGTTGGAGCCAGGGGATCTTTCTTGCCCAGGAGAGAGCATGAGTGGGTTCGGGGTGTCGGGAAGGCTGGCGGTGTCTCCTCTTGCCGGCCCCGGCTCTTCTGGCTGGGGTGTCCCCAGAGCACTGCAGAGAGGGTTGTAGTGCAGTGCTGAGGCATGCGGAACAGCAAGGAGGGGACGCAGGCAGGGACGAGGCAGCAAGGAGAGGATTCAGGCAGGGACCGTGCATAACCCTCCAGCCCATGCAGACTCGCCTGGGGAGCCCTTGCTTCCCCTCTGTGTGGTTGGGCACTGACTGGAGGCCCTTCCAACCCCAGGAAAGCTTCGCTTCTGCGGCTCCTCTTGGGTGAAGGCTTAACCTGCGCGGTTCCCCTGGAGCCACAAGCTGAGGTCTGTCCTAGCATGAGGTCTCATCCGAGGACCCTCCTCAGATAGGGCTCTTTCCTAGGAGAATTTTTGCTCTGGGGGAGAAGGTCGTCTGTGCAGTAAATTGGGGGTGTGGAAGGGACGGGCTGCAGGCTAAGCTATGGTTTAAGATGCTGCCAGCACAGCTCTGCCTTCCCCCCTCCTGCCAATTTTGAGCACCCAGGGGATGCCAACAGTGGTGGAGGCCATGCACAGCCCAGGCGCAGGGTCCCCGAGCTCCCGACCATGCCTGGAAGAGAAACTCGCGCCCTTCCAAGCTGATTTTTTTTTTGGCTCAATTGAAAGTCCTGGATTGAGTTTCTGCTTCCGGGACTGACTCCTAGCAGCAGCCAGGGGCACTTGGCTCCCGGCTGTGGTGCTAATTCCCCACCCATAAGAGGGTGTTGGGCAAGGCTACCTTGCACTGCTGGGGTAGGACTGGGTGAAATGTTTTCCTTGGGACGATTTTGCTGCAGATTGGATTTTTGAATAAAACCTTCTGAAGAGGTGGTGGCTTTCTGCCAAAAATAAAAAGTCTTTCTGTGGGGGGAAAAACCCAACATTCTTGGCTGAGCACCTCCAAACTTCTGGGTTTCGGCTGAAAATGCAGGCGACATTTTTGCGTGGGCAAGAACCTCTCGATCCGGGGCGGGCCAGGACCTATGCCCACTTCAGTTGGTGGCACTGCAGGCACCCTCGGGGCCCCGCGCACAGAGTGTGGCCCTGTGCTGGCAGCACCTTAACATGACTCGCGGCGGTGCCAAGCAGCCCGAGTAGGCAGGGCCGCTCCAGAAAGCGGGCCGTGCCACTGATCCCATGACAATTGGTTTTGCAAAGTGAGGCCGCTTGAGCCATTTCCAGTGGACACCAGAAGCACTACCAGCACGGCAACTAATGGCCCCCCTCTTGGTCCCACCCCCCTGACTAATCCCTGTGGTGCTATGAACCCAGCAGTACAGACGAGGCCTTGTCACTGGAGGACAAAGATCTGAGGGACCGGGAGAGGAGAATGGCCAATAACGCCAGGGAAAGGGTGCGTGTGCGGGACATTAACGAGGCCTTTAAAGAACTGGGACGCATGTGTCAGATGCACTTAAAAACGGACAAAGCACAGACCAAACTGATCATCCTACAGCAAGCGGTGCAGGTCATTCTGGGCCTGGAGCAGCAAGTACGAGGTATGGTAACAGCTGGCAGGAGCCTTTCGGGGCCTTTCTCTCCCCTCCCAAGATCTCTGCGGGCGCGTGCATCTCTGTTGTAACTCCAGCTTTTGTCGCAAGGTTGTGTGTTTGCATTGCCGGCGGAGCGCGCGTTAGGCTGAGCTTTCCAAAGCCACTGGGTGGATTTGAACCCTCTCCGTCCCTTTCCTGTGGGGCTTAATGGAAATTTTGGCACCTGCGTCCCATTAAGCAGCTTTGGAAAACTCAGTCCTCAACTCCAAGAGCTGGCTTGAGGCAGTTGGGGTTTTCTTTAAGCAAGCACATGTGTAAATTGGCATGGTGTTTCAGCTGGGCATGGGGGTTCACTCTAGCAGGGGTCCAGCAAAGTTACTGCAGCCACTGCAAGGAGCAGCAGGCAAAGAGCAGCTTGCACTGAGGTTGTTTCCTCGCATGGTACTGTGTGTCTGTCCTGGGACTGTCCTCGCTCTCTCTTTCGGATGCTGCTGCTGTGTGTGAGGCTATTGCACAAACTGAGGTTCCCTCCCTCCCTCCCTTGCTGTTTTTGGCATAGAGCGCAATCTGAACCCTAAAGCAGCCTGCTTGAAGCGTCGGGAAGAGGAGAAAGTGTCTGGAGTAGTAGGAGATCCCCAGATGACACTTTCAGCTTCACATCCTGGTCTAGGAGATGGTCACAACCCTGTCGGACACATGTAAAGGTACCATCCTCTGCGTCATGATTCCAGTGCCCTCCTGCATGCCCAACTCGCTGAGCTGGAAGGAGCAGCGTGATTCTGCCTTCGCAGCTCAGCTTTCCTTATTCAGCAGCAACTCGACTGACTGCACTCAGCACAGTTGTGGCTGTCAGAGCCCTTAGTGTTTCTAGGCAGGGTGGGTATCAGCATGAGTGGACATTAATCTTCCTTAACTTAATCTTTATTAAATGACGCACTCATGCATTTCATTTGCCTGTCAACCATCGGCTGAGCTATTTTGTCCCCGACTCTCTCTTCCCCCCACTGGGAACAGCAAGGACTGAGCTCAGCTCTGTTGGGCATCCCCAGGCAAACTGGCTTTTGGGCAGGCAAAGCGTCCACAGCCGAGAACATGTAGAGCGTCCGCCCTGCAGGAGACAATGCAGCACCGTAGTTGGGATAGAGGGTTTCAGTCATCTCCCCACCTGGGGCGAGGTTGGCTCAGCTCCACACATCTCCAGCCCTCCCCAGCTGGCTCCTGGAAACCAAGGACTCCCTCGCCTGGTGGCCCCTGCCCTACAGGAGGGAAGGGGGCAGGTCCCAGAAACACCACAAAAAGATGCGGAAGGTGAAATTCCCCCTAGGGCTGTGGCAGACACAGGCTCTTCCGGGCTGGCCCCATTGGGAAAAAGCCCTCAAGTTTGCCCTGGGTATAGCCGAGGCCATTTGGCCCGTCCGCCACCAGGGATGTCAGTGTCGGCCTGGCCACGGGGAGGATTGGTGACCAGATCCAGGACGGCTGGGCTGGGGCTAACCCCGTCCCCAGCCTCTGGTGCATGGAGAGGCCGTTGTCCGCCCCACGGCAGCCCGCTGTCCCCTGCTCCAGTGGGTGTGAGGTCCTGCTGGGCCAAAAAGCAAAGCCCGGCGTCTAAGCAGAATAAGATGGCTCGTGTCTCCGGCTCTCCTGCATGTATCTGTGACATCCTTGGGCCCGACTTCTCCCATGGCAATGAGACTGCAAGCACGTGGTTCGCGTACGGAGCGGAATTTCATTCTCATTTGGGTTTCTCTTGTTTTTATGCTTGCGTGTGTTCGTTTCCTTTGCAGGTCTTTTTGTTCCTCTGGATACAGAGGTCTATAGGAAGAAAACCCTCGGTGTGACCTGCGACCTTCTCAAACCATAAACTTTAGTACTGCTAATACTGACACATGGATCCTGGCATGATGTAAGGGGTGGAAAAAACACTTTGTCAAAAACAAAACAAAAACAAAAAAATTGCCTTAAGTATAAAGTGCGGAACAGTCAATACATATCACTCAGTTAGGAGGGGGTGGCGTGTTCTCTTGGCTTGTTCACGAGCAGCCAGCAGCAAAATTGTGCCTAAGCTTAATATTTCTTTTTTAAAAAAAAGAACATTAGTTATGAGATTTTTTATGTAGAACAAATAGCAATGCCTTTTGGTTTTTTTAGCTTCTTTTGCATATGTTTTGTAAGCAACGAAAAAAATTTTTTTTGTATAAAAAAAATGTCTTGTACCCCCCGCTTTTCTGCTGCTGTTTCTATAGTTAACGTTGCATCTTTAGGATCAACCAGAATATTAAAATTGTATTAAGAGAGAGACTGGATATAAAGAGAGGAATTCTCAGATTCGGCTCTGAAAGCCACTAAAAGCGAATGTAGCCACAGCGAGGGGATATTTTTCCTTGCCTGGCTTGTACCTTCCATTATAAAAAAAAAAAAAACCTCACTCGTGCTGAATTCACCATCTCTTTGCTTTGGCCACTTCTGATTTTGGAAAAGGAAGTTAAACAACAAAGCAAGTTAGAGCAGCATCCCTGAGTGGTGCTCTGGCTCCTCCCGGGCCATAACCGAGGTCCATCGAAGGTCTCTGCAAGTAACTCCTGGAGGATCCCGGAGGCTGGGGTCCTCTGCAGGAGATGAGGCAAAACGCAGCCGTCTCCGCAGTGTCGTGGCGGGGCTGAACGTGGGGAGGACGAGCCGCTGGGAGAGAGCAGGCCTGGAGAGCAGAAGAGAAACGAGGGACTTGGGGCACTTTTGAGGTAAGCAAAGAAGCAACGCAGATGCAAGAGAAAACGCAAGTGGGAGCAAAACGCCTCTTGCCCACGTGTCTGAGCAAATATCCATGGTCAGAGGCACTTCCGGGGCAGAGAGAGCTGAACAAAGATGACTGAACAAAGCTGGAGGGATGGAGAAGAGGCAGCTGCAGCAAAGGCAGCAGCGGGAGACCAAGCCCGGCAACCTTGGAGCAGACAGACCCGCCGACGCTGGCTGCAGGCAGCGAGCGAAGAGCCCTGACCCAAGGTGACAGGATGGGGAGCAGCAGGGCTGGCCAGCTCGTGTGCACGCTGCCTCCCAGCCCCGATGAGCTGCAGCCAGCATTTGCAGCTGCAATCCCTCCGTCTCCATGTGGCTTCTCCCTGCTGGTGCCTGGCGTTTGGAAGTGGCGAGTCGGAAACACTGCGGGAGAGGGTTTGTTTTACACTTCAACTTGACCTGCTCTTGCATCTCCAAAGTGTTCTCGGAGGCAACCTCAGCATGCTACCCTTCCTCCTGTGCTGCCATGGGGATGCCAGGGGGACATAGCCACCAGCACCTGCACGTGAACTCCTCTCTCTGTGTCGGAAAGGGAGGAGAGCAGGCAAGTGCCCTTTCTCAGCGAGATGCTCCCGGCAGCCCTGGAAGCTAAGTGCGGCCAATATTCCCAACTCTCTGAGGGCTTCCCAGTGTCGCTCCAGACAGCTCCCGTTTGCTCAGCTGGCCGAGGACCCGGGCCTGCCTTCTTGGGAGGAAGACCCCCGCCAGCAGCCTGCAGATGCGCAGAGCTAACAAAGCAGCGCTTAGTGGGGTGGCAGCTGCCGCGGGCAGGTAGTGCCAAGCTGAGGAGGCCGTTCTGCAGTTCGCACTGGGAAAGTGTCTGCCGTGATTTTATTTTTGGTTTCTTCCTTCTCCCTCCCCTTCTCCAAAATGGCTTCCAAAATGTTTTGTGCCCAGCCTTGCCTAGCTCTGCCTGCAGCTGGGCTTGGCTCCTGGGAGGGGGATTGAAACCCCATCTTGGTAGTGACTGTCATGCTCTCGGAGCAGGGCCTGTGGCTGCCTGGCTCTGCTGCTGTGCTGGTGGGGGCTCATGGGACCACTGTGTGCTGGGGCTGGCCTGGAGGGGACATCGAGCGAGACAGGGACTACTATACACTCGGGAGCCCCAGCAGCAGGGACTGGCTCTCTCCTCTTTGCTTCTCTGGCCTGTGCTCCTGTGAAAGCTGTGTATTTTGCTAGTGCTTCAGCCCAGGGAAGGGACTGGCGAACAGGATTAGGTCCCTCTGCCTTTCCTAGCACCCATAGGCTTTGGTGTAACCTCCTGGTGCTCCTCTTCGCTCGTAGCTATGCTTCATGCTCTAGCAAAGCTTGCTGGAAAAGTTCAGGAGCTGGTTACGAGCGCTGGACCGAGACAGGAGAGCCTCTCCCTGCTGCCCCTGGACTCCATGAGGTCCGACTGTAGTTCTGGAGGTGTTGGGTGCTCCTGCCTTTTTCTGCCTGCAACCCACTGCTCCAACCATCGCATTTGTGCACGTGAGACCTGACAGCCCAGCTTGTTTCCCGGGAAAGGTCACTGTGGTCCCTGCAGTTCTGCAACATGATTTCTGCTCGCCTGTGTCAACAGACGTTTCAGCCTAATTAACTCATCGGGTTATGACACTATTTCCTCCCCTGGGTTCTTCCACCTACTTAAGCATCGGACAGCGTTAGACGGATGAGGTTTACAGCTGTGTATGACAGCCTTGCCCTAGTAGAGCAGCTGCCTTGTAGCAAAAGCCAGGTCTTCCTGGAGTGTCCTGCTTGGGTTACCTTCCATTTTGGCCACTCGAGCAAGTTCAGTTTGGGATGATAAAACATGCAGGGATGGGGCAGTGCCCTTCTGTAGCCTGCAAGCCAGGTCCAGGCCTGCAAACAATCCTGATTTGGGCTCTAGGCTAGGAAAAGAGGAGCTGTTTGCTGCCTTATGGAAACAAA